ATTTTCAACTATTTTCTTCCAGAGTCGGAAATATTATATATATAAAATAATATAATATAGTGTGTATATATAATAATATATATACTCATATAGGTATATGAGTCTGGATGGTTGGGTAGAGAAAAGTACTTTTATTTATATATTTCAAATAAATCACACATACACACACACATTTTGCAGTGGGACAAGAATAAGATTTGGTGTCAAAACAATATTTACTCCCAGTCCTGAGCTACAAGACATCAGGCATACCTGTTCATTTGTAAACTGTTTTGTGTGTTTTTGAGACTGGGTTTCCCTAAGTAGTTCAGACTGGTCTTGAACTCACTATGTAGCTCAGGCTGGCTTCGAACTGAGCAATTTTCCTGTCTCAACTTCTGGAGTGCTGAGAGTACAAGCTAGCACCACCATGTCTGGCTCATTTGTAAGTTAGACATAACCATATTCACCTTGTAAATCTGATAAGTGAAATTTACAATGATTCTCAAAATATTTTGGAAATCCCAAATACAAATTTTCTGTGTGTGTGTGTGTGTGTGTGTGTGTGTGTGTCTTTTTGAGACAGGGTCTCATTATGCAGTTCAGGCTGTCTTTGAGCTCACTTTGTAGCCCAGGCTGGTCTTGAATTTGCAACAATCCTGTCTGAGCCTCCCAAGTGCTGGAATTACAGGAGTGCACCTCTATGCCCGGCTACAAATACAAATTTTCAAACTTACCCTCCAACCTCCTGGGAAACCTACAATGATCTTATGGATGTAAAATTTGAAAACCATTAGAGTATTAAAGTTTGATGGCTACCCAGAAAAGCTGCTAGGAATGGTTTGCTGTTGTTACTAATTTGTGATATTCAATCACCTCTTTGTCCCGCTGAACCCATGAACATTACATTCCTCAAACCTTAAGGAAGGCTTCTCCTTTATGATCCCCCGGTTAGGTGCAGCAGTTGCATTGGTTGAGCTGAAGTCAACGTGTGCCTGGCAGTGGGTGCAGGCATAATGGAGGTCCTAGTCCACACCCAGACTTAATGCCAACTCCTGGGTCCCTCATCACAGCTTAATGTCTATTTATTTATTTATTTGTGTGCATTTTGGTTATTTTTAACTCATGAAGAAGACTGAAAAGAACAGCGCTTGACTGCACCCCTGGACTGACTCCATGACTGATGGGGTGGTATTTTAATAGATGAGGCCAGGCACTCAAGGCTCACACTGATTAGAAATAGTCACTTCCCTTGCCAGTAAATGGAAGCAACAGAAGCATGAGAACAATCTTCTTCAATAGATTTGTTTCATTTTAAACAGAATGCATCTTAAGTTATCAGACTTTCCTCAATTGTTTTAAAAAAGACAGAGCAGGACAGTCCTATCTAGAAGGACAAGTCCCCATATAAAATTCCCAGAAAGGCCTCTACAGTGAATCTGATTACTCTCAATAATAGAGACAAGGAACTACTACTGTTTCAGAATCTGTAGTAAACTGGATGGAAAACACTTTGCACCAAGGAGTTGAGAAAGCAGTTTTTATTAACACCGTGGACTGATGGGATCTGGGTCCAAATCATCAGCACTGGCTTAAAGTAAAACAGCAATGCATAGACTTTTTTGTAAGCAGGATGTATACAGTTGACTATACTCTGTACTTCCTGTACTAATCTAATGGATTAGTCTAGACTAATCTAATGGATTAGTCTCTAATTGGTTATATACAGGCTAGTTTATAATTGGCTACATATATTTAGCCATAATTGTCAGGCAGATGTATCAAGTGCAGGTTGAATTAGGGGAGCCATTTATCATGGAGCAGAAACGTCTGGGAGACAGTCAAGGTCCCTGGCAAGCGGGCAAAATTTGGTGTGACCTTGATAGGACTAGTCTGTCCCTTGAAGCAGACTAAGAAGACAGTATTTGTGTAGGCTATTGTGCAGCTGGACAGCAGGGCTGAGCCCACTGTCTCTGAGTTGCAGCTGGACAGTCAAGGCCAGCCTAGTCTGATAGCCCAATTATGAAGCTATAGCTTTTAAATCTATTACATTTTATTCTCCATTACACTACCAACTGTTTTCAAACCATGACCAGGACAAAGACCCAATATGTAATCCTTTTCACTTACAGTGATTTTCGGACAAAGTAGAAATGTATTTTTTAAAAAACCAAACTCCCACATTGCAACTAAAGAAAAAAGAAGTGTACTCAACATTTTGCAAGAGGAGCAGAAAACTCCATCATGTTACCAACAATTTTATCTTTTTCATTTCTTTATTTTTAAATCTCTCAGGAGGTTTAAGCAAGTAAACTAAAATACACTACACAAATGTTTATGGATAGTAACTGACTATAATTAGTAATACTGTTACTAATACTCACTTGACAGCTGTGGTCATGCAGCTTTGAATAGTTAGAAGGTAAAGGCTATTGGTCACAACTTCTAACATTCACAGGTCTGCAATAGGACGCCTAACCTGGTTTTGACCAAGATCACTTGAGTCAGCTTCCCTTTACTGCTGTACTTCAAAGTCAGTATTTGCTGGGGAAATTCCCCTGTACCCTCTCACTTCCTGTAACTGAGCACAAGGCCTGGCGCATCTCCTCTCACTCTCTCATATTTAACTAGTATTTCTTGCATTGCAGGACACTTGAGTGCAGGACATGGCGCATCCTTCTCCACCATCTTTCCACTACCACCTTTTGGGGGTTACCGGGAATCAAATTCATGACGTTGCGCTTTCCAGGCAGGCCCTGTGCCATTGAGTTATATCCCCAGGCCTTCATTACCCTTTTTAAAAATCTTTTGTTTTTGGTTTTTTGAGATAGGGTCTCACTATGTAATGTAGGCCGGACTTGAACTCACTATGTATCCTAGGCTGGCCTCAAACCCACTGTGATCCTCCAGGCTCAGCCTTCTAAATTCTGGAAATAAGGTGGGCACCACCACGCCCAGCTCCTCCCCCTTTATTTTTATCCTCTAGTGTTCTCGCCTGCTTGAAAGGATTCAGAATACCTATTGGCATTTTACTCAACATTTTTCTCACCATCCTATCTATTTAGACACAGTCATAACAATAAAATAACAACATGATATAGAAAAGTTAGTGAATATTTATTATAAAAGTAGAGAAAACAAATCTGGTTAAAATCTTATAAATATCACCCAGATGAATCATGGATTGTACTGTTATTAAAAATAGCAAAGTTTGTGAGCACTAATTATACACTAAGCACGTTCCAAAACATTCCTTCACTTATCCCGTGTGACAGGTGTTCTGCCATCACAAGTTCCCGTATGAAGAAACTGAAGCTTAAGGAGATTAATTTCTCCCAAAGTCACATGCCAGAGAGAAAAGATCTGAGACACTAATTTTGCTTTCTGTAACTTCAACCCCTCCCATTCTTTCAGAAGCAGGAAAATGTGGGTGCACAGAACATTTTCCACATTATAGACCTCTATTCAAAAACAACACTAAAGGTGCATTTTAGCACTGATTTAGTTCAATTATCAAACTTTGCTAAACATCTTAGATTCCTGCAAGTTCATTAGCTGTCTTGAAAATCATCAAGGAAAACCAACCCCGGGTCTTTTAGAACTTGTATTAAGTACATTGACTGCTCTGCAATTCTTCGCAATTTGCTGATTTCAGTAGGGTAAGTGCAGTACCACCTGTAGGTTAAGGAACTCTTTTCTTGAATATTATTATCTTAGAAATCTGCCTACCACATTATAAAAATAATCAAAATACACTCTGCCCACCCCCAATACACAGACTTAAATAACTACTGATGGGATTTTTTAAAAGTTTATGTTATGAACATGTAGATTTTTCTTGACATTATTCCATAAACAAAATAGCAAAGCTTGACCTAGCATTTACATAGCATTGACCTTATATTAGGCATTTTAAGTCACCAAGAGGGGACCTAAAGCACATGTAGCATGCATAAACACTGCACTGTTTTAACGAAAGGGCACATATCTATAGATGATTTTGGTGTGGGGGTGGAGAAAGGTGTCCCAAAACTTAATCCCTCCCAGATATGGAGAGATGCTTGTACTTTTTCTCATAAATTTCATATAAAACATTTATGGTATTAGCACCTTAACTAAAACAAAGCAAAGAATAAAAGATCTTTTTAGACCCTACAAGAGAATTTACAAATAACACATTTCTTGTCAGTTCTTCAGGCTAGGAAATAAAGCATGTATTAAAGTACTGTGCTCCCTTATTAAAAGTTTTGCTGAATACTGGAATAAAACTAAGAAAGCTTTTTTTTTTTTTTTGAGTGAAAATCATGCTTCTGCCCAGAAAATAACTAGGGTGCAGAACAATTGGTTCAAAGCAATTGTTTACTTTAAAATGTCAACAATGGGTTCAGCTAGAGGGCTGAAGGTGGCCTGTCATTTTATTAGGTCACAGCAGTTTGGCGATTTGGCTACCAGAGAACAGAGCTGGAAAACGCGGAAGAGAACAGAGCAAAACAGCCTCTTTGCACGCGTTCTCCTTTCCCCTGTTGCCAACCTGATTGCACGCGTGGTGAAAGATGGCGAGCCCGAGGACAGCGTGCAGACACATCCAGGTTAGTACACCGAGGTTCCTTCTTATTTTGAAAACCAGCTTATCTCGTACTAGGGCTATGGTTGTCTTCCTTTCCATTCCACTTAGACTAGCAGCTAAACAGCTGTAATTTCTCTCTCTCTCTCTCTCTCTCTCTCTCTCTCTCTCTCTCTCTCTCTCTCTCTCTCTCTAGCACAGAGTACATTCCTAAGTTCAACACTGAAAAAGATTTTAAAAGGTAAAGTTTGTTGCCAAGGAAGGCACAGGCGGGATTTTTTTTTTTTTTTTTTTTTTTTGCGGTACCAGGTTGCTCTCTTTCGTTTCATCTGTATTCTGCCTTTGGTCCCTTTGCTGTGTCGCGGCCCCTGTCTTCCTGTAACCGATCTCTTCGAGCCAATCAAGAAGCAAAAAAGAGCAAACACGCCCTCCCGCTCCCGATTCCCTTTGCTCGCGGCCCACCAACCGCAGAGCCGATCAGCCAAGAGCTACTGTCATCCTTCTCACTGCTCGGTTGCCGCCGCCGCCGCCTCCAGATTCCGGAGGTGAAGGAGGCCAGGAGGAGAAACATGGACGTTACGGTCGCCCCACTCCGCGCTTGGGACGATTTCTTTCCGGGCTCCGACCGCTTCGCCCGGCCAGACTTCAGGGACATTTCCAAATGGAACAACCGTGTCGTGAGCAATCTGCTCTACTACCAGACCAACTACCTGGTGGTGGCTGCCATGATGATCTCCGTGGTGGGGTGAGCCGGCAGGCGCCGCCCGGGGTGGGCGCTGGGGGCCGAGCGCGGTCCGGGCTCTGCGGGCCGCCGGGCCGTCTCAGCTTGTTCTTCGGGCGGGGCGGCAGCCGTGTGGTTCCCTTCTCGTTCCACACCCGCGCCTAGACGTGGAGGGGCCCTAGGAAGACGCGGGTGGGGCAAGCGTGGCCACCTTGGGTGAGAAGAATCACTTTTGAGCCCCGATTCCGGGAGAAGGCGGGTCGCACGTCAGGCTTTAAACACAGGGGGAAGCTGGCTAACCTTGTCGTGCAGCTGCCGCGGTGCCGCCCTTGCAAGCCCGGGAGGCCGGGTGTGGACGCAGGGTGGGGTCCTTCGGGACATCTGGGTGGCTGATCCTCCCAGCGCCTGCCACACTGTACGGGAAAGCGGAGCGTGCGAGCGGGAAGGTGGGCGTCTGTCACCTGTCTCCTGGTGGCGCATCTCCCAGTGTGGGGTGACTTGAGATTAGGGCCCCCTGGCATTTTCTTCCAGGAGTTGCCAGCCAAGGCCACTCTGTCTTTACTCCCTGTCCTGGAGTCTTCGTGCATCTGAACGCCTCTTCATTATTTAAAAAGTGACCTCTGTTAGCCAACACTGCAGTCATATGTACATTGTGTGCGCGTGCACACACACACGCACACGCACACAGGCTTGCTCGCTCCCCTACACCTGCTTCCCTTTACAAATTGCCCTTTTTTAGTAATGCACCCTTCTAAAAAATGCTTCCTTCTCCCACTTTTGTGCCAGGCAGGGTGGCAATATTCTCCATCTTGCTGATTGTCTTCACTTCGCCTTAAAGAAGCATCTGACATTTGTGTTTGACAGCAGAGGGAAAGAACAAGTTGGCTCAGGAGGAAAAGCAGACAAAGTTATAGCTGTGTGGTAGGGTGAATGGGGTGGTGTCTCAAGTTGGCTTGTTGTTAGTTGGCTTGCTCATTGAGCCACCTCTCTGCGCCAGGCTCAGAGTGCACCAAGATGAATCAGACTTGAATTGTGGCCCAGGGACATGTGGCATTTGCTGAGAAGCTAAAGGAGCAAACACAGCACTGAGGGACAGGAGAGAGCTCACATTTTCCGGGTGTGGTTCAGAATGGGCACCCACTCAGGAGGAAGCCCCAGGGATCCTCTCTGCCTTGCTGCAGGATTGAGAGCTCTGGGAACCTTTAGTGTCTGGAGGGCACGGGTTCCTGAACCACTGTGACCAGGCTGGCAGCCAAGGCACAGTTAGGGCAGGGCAGGCCCAAGACCTGAAGCAACTGTTTTTGAGTCTTCTGTTGGTTCTATGCCTCTTTTCCAGAAGACAAAGAAATTTCTTTACCATAAAATAAGTAGTAGGGGCTGGGGAGATAGCTCACTAGAATGAGGGCCTGCCTGGCAAGCGCGGGGTCCTGAGTTCAATCTCCGGTACTGAAAAAAAAAAAAAAAAAAAAAAAAAGAAGTAAATAGGTTTCATGCTTTGCTTTACTTTCTTTTTCTTTACATTGTAAAGAAGCAGGAGAAGGGGCTGGGGAGATAGCTCAGTAGAATAAGTGCTTGCCTGGGAAGTGCAAGGGCCCGAGTTCAATCCCTCTGTTGGGGGGGGGGGGAAGAAGCAGGAGGGCATCTTATCTTTGATCTTGTTATAGGGGTATTTTTCTTGAGATAATGCCAAAACTTAGATACAGAGCAAGGTTTAACACAGATCATTAAAATGTACAGAAAGAAAAGTTATTCTTTTTCCAGAGAGCTGTGCTGCCTAGATAGGACACAAGCTCAGGAGCCTGTTTACTCTAATAGAATTCATATTTTACCCAGAAGAGTGGGGCCAGCCCCTTGACAAAATATAGCTCCTTTTCTGTAGTATCATAAGTCATTGAGGTAGGCGCTTAAGGGTTGTCATTCCCTTTCAAATAGGAGATACCTACTGTTAGTGATACTTGTGAAAAAGAAAGTAGAAAGTATTCATGGAGGTTTTATATTGTTTAAAAACACAAAAGTTATAGGATAGGCCTGGGGGCCAGAGAGACAGCTCAGTAGAATAAGCATTTGCCTGGCAAGCACAAGATCCTGAGTTCAATCCCCAGTACCTGAAAAATAAATAAATAAATAAATAGTTATAGGCCAGTGATAAAAGTTGTTTTGAAAAATTACATGTTTATAATGTATGAAATTTCTTTCATTTTCCAGTGAAAGCATGGTTAAGGACCTTTGACTGTGTTGTATACATCTATAAACATAGACTTTTGTCATATATTATTAACTTTTTTAATAATAAAGATAAAATTTATTAAGGGTTTTATGTACTTGGCTATTTTACTTGCATTATGTCATGCTGCTCCGTAAGTAAACTATTATTATTATTATTTAAGTCCAAATCTCAATAAGTTAAATGACTTACACAAAGCCACCAAGCCAGGGTTTTTCCTCGTAGCTGCAATAACATGACGTCTTCCAGGAGTCATGAAATTTGGAATTATAGTCCCTTTAAGCTAGAAGAAACCAAATACCTTCAGGACCTTGGAGCTCAGCTCAGGCAGAGGCATGGGTCAGAGCTGTGCCGAAGGCTGTTTATCAGTCGTTCCAGACTATGAAAGTATGGCCTGTGTTACCTCAGGTAAGGATTTTATTCAAAGGGCTCTCCTCTGTGGCTCCACCTCTGTTTACAAGGGCACTTCCTCCTAGCAGAGCTAGAAGAAGACTTTGAAGGCCTTTGGGGAGCTCTAGTTCTGCTCTCTATCTGATACTGAAACCTAACTTTGTTTTCTTTTTTGGTGGAACCAGGGATTGAACTCAGGCCCTTGCACTTGCCAGGGAAGCGCTTATTCCTCTGAGCCATCTCCTTGAAACCTAACTTTGGTAAGAGGGCTGGTCCTTCAAGACTGCAGTTTTGAAAAGAGAGGGATTGCCATGGCAGAGGTACTGTAGATCCTGGAACACTGAAAAGAAGTGTATACCCCAAAGTAGAGACTAAGAAAGATTAGCTAGAGATAATCTTTGTATGAAGTACTGAGCAGGCAGGGTTCTGGTAATCCATAGTTAGAAGTTTTATTTTTACCTTCAGAACATGGTTTACCAGGCACGGGCCTTCCACTCAGAAGGTATACTGTGCATTTGGCCAGATTAACTCTGCCTAAATCTGTTGCCTCACAGCTCTTCTTGAAAGTGGTGTTCAGATCTTCTGGCTCTTTGAGTAGTATAAGGTAATGGTTAAATCTACATGGAGTTTGAATCCCACCCAGCAAGTCTGACTGCGTGACCCTGTGTGAATCCCTTAAACTACACCTTATCCTGGCTTACTTATCTGTACAATGAGGCTAATAATAGGACCTAGCCCACAGGCCTTCTGGAGGATTAACCGAGTTCAGGACAGCGCCAGCCTCCTGCTTTTTGCTCCACAAAATGTTGCTGGCTATTTCTGTCTCTATTCCTGTTATCAAAGATATGGCAGAAAAACACAGATAGTGTCTTTACATCAGCAACTTCATCTACCCAGAGCCCATTCGCCAGCTTCTTTACCCACTGCGGCAAGACTCTGCTTAGACACCACTTCTTTGTGGAAACCTTTCGCTCTCACTCTCTGTGTTAACTGGGCTCCATGTCTGTGTTTATAGCTTTCCTGTTATCCTGGAAGCGTCTAAATTATTCACTTATCTTCACTATGGATTCCAGATCTCCAGTAGCCACAGCCAGTAGGTTTTGGTTTTGGTTATTTTCTCCTTGTTTTGTTTTTGTCATCTTTGTTTTTATGCTGTCTCCCTGAGACCTGCTAGACAGCAGAGTGATGAGAGCAAAGAATTCAAGTGAATGTAAGATTTTGGCACAATCATAGAGGCAGCTTTCAGTCTACTAAAAGGAACACATTATTTTTTAAAGTCTGTAGAACATGAAAACATATGGCAGCAATACACTCCCAAGGTGACTGCAGTGATCTATTGCTAAAGCCACCATGCCACACATGGTTAACATTACCAGCTATGTACAAATTTAATTTAAAAAGATTATAGTTCAGATTCTTCACTAATTCACTTTAGTCTCGCAGTGTTATGATGGTTCTCATGATTGACATTTTGAGCCCTGTGATTCATGTCTCAGCATGATCGACATTTTGAGCCCTGTGATTCTTTGTCATGGGGGTCATTTGGGTATCTAGCTTCCTCTTGCCCTTTAACCCACATGATACTAATAGTATACACCCCCTCCAGACTTGACCTTTGACAATGTCTCCTGTAGACAGGGTGATGGTTGATAATCGCTGCCCTACTACCCAGATAGTCATGAAGATTCCTCTGTATGCCCGCTCATCAAATACGAAGTACTATACTTGCTGTGATCGTACTGCTTGACCATAGTTTTTTCCCACATCATACCCATTCTATAATTTACCATTGGATTAAGCAACTATACTTGTAATCTTATTTAATTGGCTATAGTTCTGTCACCCCCAAGCCCTCCTCACCTCATGGCTTTACTTAATGAAACACTCTTGAGAATTAGGATTGGTGGGCAATCCGTTTTCCAGGCCCTCTTATGTCCATCTCAGACAGAAGCTTTTTTTCTCTCAAAAAATTCTTCCTACTCTTAAAAAATACATATACAGTCCTTCCTAACAAGCTAAGGAACAGAGTTCATGGTGATTGCCTAATAAAACAACTCCTCGTTCCTGATCTTTCTAACATGACAGTGGCTTTGAAGCTTCACACCTTTTGAGTATTAGTCTCAATTTATTACATTTTTTATGCTAATCATCCTTTTAATTTGTCTTCCTGGAAACTGTATTGGCTCTACAGACTCAGTTAGTCATTTTATTTTTTGACAGAATTATAGCATTTGCCTTTATTAGTTTTTTATTCTAAAGTTCATTTGCTCTAGCAATGCACTGCTATAAAACAGGAATTAGAAGGTTCCACTGGTATGAAGTACACCGAGGCCTAGCAAATTTTAACACTCAAACATTAGCTGCTTTTATTATTACATTAAATCCTAGATCAGAGGCTTATTTAATATGT